CTATCAGGACTCTGTATATCTTCTGCCTGTACTAAGGGAGGTTGTAGTGGTCTGTCTGCCCTCGAAGGTTTGTGGAAAGCATCCTGTGTATAACTTGGTGGAGCAGATGGTGGGGCTAAAGAGTGGAAATTTAGATTACTGGGTTATGGAGTGTAACCAGATGCATATTTCAGCCAGTGAAGACCTGCTGCTTTCATATATTTCATCCCATTCAGAGTCCCCTGAAAAACCATGGGAAAGCTTCCTTATCTCCCAAACACGGTCCCTTGATCATGTCCATATGAAACTTATCATTAGACCTATCTCTAGGAAAGGGGCTACAGCTTTTCATACCCAAGGACCACTCGGCAATATTTTCTATGAAAGGAAACCACATAATATTCATCCCATAACAATAACGTTATCACATATTCCTTACAAGTTAACCTAGACAATTCAGGATATATTGTATTGCTTTCTTTTTTCTTAGCAATATCACGTAACACTTTACGTGGAAGCTTAGGAATGTTGGGCAGAGGTCCCTTACCATGGACTATTCCCATCTTGAAGCAAAACAGTTGTTAGGCAAAGCACTAAATTATTACAGTGTCAGCATTTTTCTCTGAAGAGGAGAGGCTGTAACACCGACAAAACCTTCTCAACAGTTCAGGGGTTTAACACTTAAAAGACCAACACTTGTAATATTCCTATACTGTAACAAAAATATTCTACATAGCAGTATCTTAACATACAGCAAATAAGCACTTATACTTCTAAAATGACAAAAATAAACAAGGACTACTATGAATTCACAATATTATACCTGCCTAGGGGAATTTTTTCCCCAGAGGTTCCCGAACCCTCGGAATTCCCTTTGAGGTCTCAAACCTCAAAGACTCCCAGTGAGATCCAACATTCTCAAATGGTGACTTTGGCTACTATCCCTGGGTCTTAAAGGGGGATGATCAAAGGTATAACTAAGACATAAAGCTGAGCTTACATGACCGTCCACGCATTTATCCCACTTTTGACACCAAAATTGAAAGGATCAATTCCTTTCTGTAGCCCAAACTGTCCTCGAATATTTTCCCCACCAGGCCTGGGAGAAACAAAGCTCCAGACACCGAAGCTAAATCTCTGAAAGTTTAATGCAAGACAAGATCTGTTTATACAGAACTCAGAGGGGGTGTTGCTTAACTTTAGGATGACCAATGAAACATTCCACTCTTATCAGTATAGTTACGTGAAGAATAGAAACTGCAAATAGCTGAGGGATACCATATAAGGTGGTTCCGTTTACTGAGAATAGAATCTATTCTCAGGAAATGAGTTACAAGTGAAACTCAAAATCGAAACTAACTGTTCACACATCTAGAAATGGAAGCATTATACAAAATGGATGCCAGTTAATAAGACATATATTTCCTTACACCTGTCTTTGACATATTTGGAATGCTAAACATGGGCCTTCTGATGATGTTTTATACATTATATTTACTAAAAAGGAATAAAACCAAGAAAAGACTGCAGTGTAATCCACTCTATCTGAGCACCACTAACCAAAAACTATTTTTAATATTTAAAGCAAACTCCCACCCCATCCATCCATGTCTCCAAACTTTATTTTGCTGAAAAATCACTTTGAAAAGCACCCGCTAGCATTTCTGACTGTGGCCAACTTGAGTAGGGGCAGATTATTCATGTAGCATTTACGTCTAGGAATTCATCTGCCCTTAGCTCATGCATGCAGATTGAAGAGTGTGCTTAGTTGAGAAAACCTTTCCTCTCCTCCTGAAGACTCCTGGGATGTGTGACATAATTTGCCTAGGCCTGAAAACCAGGTAGTAACTGAAAAAATGTAAAAAAAAAAAAAAAAAGTTTTAAACAAGTAAATATTATATACTTTCCTATCTATTTACTAATGCTAGCAGCATAAGGATTACAAATATTCAACGTTGAGTGAAGTTCCGCTTTAAGTTGTTGGTTTTGATTCAGCAATCTACCATAAAAAAATATTTAAAATTTTAAAAAGTGTCATTCCTGTGAACAATACAAGCCCAGTATACCACGCAAACAAACTGGCAATCCCACTGCTAAAGGGTAGCCAGGCCTGGCGTTATGCTCACATGCATGAACATATGGGCCAGTGTTTAAAAGGGAAAGCAGGCTTCTAGTCTTTTGAGCATTCATGCCTGGACACATACTGCCTTAAACATTAATACTACTTAGTGCACCATCCAGCTGCAGCAGCTTGCAGCCTCTCATGGAGTTTTACAGGCTGCTGCCAGTGGGCCTGTACCTTTTGTTTGCATGGAAATATGTTGAACTCTCATGTAAAGGGGCTAAATGTGTGGACCAGTGTGCAGGAAACCTTAGCCATCAAGTGCATCCAAATTCTTTTCTACCACCTCACTGCGAACTTAAAGTGGATGCAAACCTCAGACATGAAATATGAACAAAGCATATCCTTCTGTAATGTGTACTTGTCTCAATTAAGAGCACTAAGTGTAATTTATTTTTGCTGCTTCATTCCTCTGCTATCAGCATGAGTCACTTTTGACAAGTCTTCCAAGAAAAAAATGGTGACAGGGGAGGGACCTCCAGCAGATTGACATCCTCAGCACTGTTCGTGTGTGCTGTGTGAAGGGGGGTTGTCCCTTTCATCCAATCAGCTCTTAGAACTCTCCTCACTGAACTCTGCAGTGTGCAATTTCAGTTCTCTGCCCCCTTTTTTTCCAAACTCATAGACAAGCTTTATAAATTCTGGACTTTTACTGGATGTAGAGAAGAGAAGACTGCAGATAAACAGGTTCAACTTATGTCAGACGATTTGTTTCATCCATGTGTTTCACCAGAGACCAGTCACTTAACTGGGTATATGTAAGTGTAGCACCCTCTAGTGTGCTACTAGTGTAGTGTAGGTAAATTTATTGTGTATGATTCATGGTAACTGTGTGAGTCTGTGATTAAGGTCGGGTTACTGCAGGTCAAGCTGGATGATTTAACAGGTTGGAACTCTATGGCTTTTACCTGGCTCTGGAGGACCATAGAACCTTCCAAATACCAGTAGATGAAAGAAGTGGAGACCTAATCTGCATGTTTATGGGAGGCTGACCAATCCCAGGTTTGGAAGCCCTGGTAGAGTGGTGAGACCAGCCTATAAATATGGCATAGTCAGGCCAGTAAGGGGAGTCGGGTGGAAGATGGAGTGCTGAGGAGACTGTCAGTGGCCTGGGAGGGGTCCCCTAGGTCTAGGGGGGCTGGCCTCCAGGCTGGGCTTGGGCTCAGGCTCAGGAGGGTCCATTCAGCAGTACGGCATGAACAGGATCAAGGCCTGGGAGCAGTAGAAGCAGTGGGAGCAAGGAGGACAGAGTGAGTGCATCTGCACACCCAGGGAATCACAAGGAAGAGACTGCCACATGTATCAAGCTTTCAAAGGACAGCGCTGGGCTCAATCCTTTATCCTTGTCCTTGGAGATGTTCAGAGTAGCCAAGAGGACTGGTAGTGTCTGCAGGCTGTAGAGCTGGGAGCAAGTCTACAGGGGAGAGGAGACATACCTCTATGTAGTTTACGAGTTAAGCTGATTTTCAGAGAGGCTGCAAGTCTCTCACCTGTAAGGGGCTGTAGCTACTGATCTGCAAAGGCTGACGGCTTTCAAGAAAAAGAACAGTCCAGGATCTATTTCTGTAAATAGAAAGGAAGATGTCTCCATGCATTGATTCAGCCAGGTTGGGCATTCCATAAACCCTATTACCCTATCCAAGTTAATTTCCCCTAATAAACGTGCAGATGCAGGTATGGAAAATGCATATTGCCTGCCTGTGCAGAGTTTAGGGACCTAGAAACACAGCAGCCCTCATGAGGGTAGTGCTACATAAGGGTTTACAACCACTTTAAGGGTTGTACTGCTCTTCATGCTTCATAGCAAAGACACCTCTGATACTGAACAGCTCCAGGCTTTACTCCTCATCTGCCTCTCGTCTTTTAATTTATTCACTGCACTGGCAGAAAGAGAATCTTCATATAAGAGGTATGTCCTGATATATTCACGATGGACCAGCCTATCAGTTGAGAGCCAGGTCAAATATTTGTATGGAAAGTAGACACTTAAGATAAAATTATATAATTTCATAATTGAGTTAACCAGTTGGTTACAGCTTGCTGCAGATATACTGCGGCAGAGTGACTGTCCTGTGCCGGATCTTGTACATGTACGTGATTTGGCTTTTCCAGGTAGCGGGCATGCTCTCCTCAGCTGTGATGTCATTTGCTACAGCACATCGATCAACCAGTCCTGGCTAATGATTTGTGGCTGGAACACGCTGATCGGCTCAGCAAATGACAGAAGAAAATGCCATGCTGGTAAACAACACAGGGCTATCTAAAGACAGCAGCAATGTGCTGTTTTTTTTTTTCCTGCAAAGCAGGGATATGTTGGATATTTGTTATAGTAGAAAGTCAAAAATATTGGGTTTTTTTCTAAATGTTCTGTCTTTTTTTATTCATATAATAAAAAAAAAATAAATGGTGATCAAATGCCACCAATCGAAATCTTTTTGTGTGAAAAAAAATATATAAATTTCATTTGAGCACAGTGCTGCATGACCATGCAATTGCCAGTTAAAGTAGCACAGTGGCAAATAGCAAAAAAAATGGCCTGATCATGAAGGGGGTAAACCTTCTTGAGCTCAAGTGGATTAAACTGAATAATGAATAAAATATTTCAGAAGTAAAGGTCCTTGGTTAAAATTAAGCAAGATGGCTTCAGGAACATTTTCTTAGAGGCGTTTCACATTTTTTAGAGTGCGAGTAAGCCTGTTAAATTTGTAAATTCATTCTGGTGAAAAGAATTCAGGCTAATTTTTTTAAATATCCCTAAAACAGTGGTAATTGGAAACAATGATATTGATTAACCATCAGGGGCGGACTGACAACTCATGGGGCCCCCGGGCAATAGGGGAACATGGGGCCCCTGTGTCCTTGCCCACACTCAAACCACACCCAAAAAAGCCTATGAAAGGTACCAGGGACATCTCATGGGGCCCCCTACTGACCCCGGGCCCTCAGGCAGTGCCTGAGTTCCCCAATGGTCAGTCCGCCCCTGTTAACCATTCATAAACAGATTAATGCTTTCAATATTGAACCTATTATCTATTTAGTAAATTTTTTGTACAGAAAAAATCTTAAGAATCTAGTGAGATCATATATTGTAACTGTTCAATATAACTGTTCACTAAGACAGTGCATAGATGTAACTACCACACAGCTTTGTTTAGTAATGTTCTGAAAATAAAGCATTAATGGAATGGAAATTGCAGAAACTTATAAATCAAAAATAATTCTTCACCTTATCTGCTCCAGATCCTCACATATACATAGAACATTGCTTCTCACTATGTGCAGAACTCATACTTGGTACCCTTGTGTTTTGAAATTATTACCTGCAAGGTGATACACAAGGTGATATAATTATACGCAATCATCTTCCTGTTGTTTCTGCAGTTTAGTGCCAGAAAGTTTATGTGTGATGGAGATAAAATTGAAGAGGAAACATTCCCACTCACCCTCTCATTGTAACATCCGGCATATTGCTCAGACAGCAATTAGATTCATTGTCAGTACAGTTTCAGCCTGACTGTTGAGGGTTTGCTTCTTTTGCTGTTCACTACACCAAATCCCCCGCTTAGCTCTTTCCACATATCATTGTACATGTTTTGACCCCCATGGTCTAAAAACTCAGTCCCAAAAACAATCAGAAGTAGTCTCCCTATAATGTTATCATTATTCAGGGTGCAATTCTACCATAGAGGGGTGATGTACTGGTCCAGAATGTAGCACAGTATGGCTTGCCACATCTCATTTCAAATTTGAATTTTTGGAAAATGGCTATATTTGTTCTATTTTATTTTATTCTATCCTAATCTATTTTTTTTTCTTTTCTTTTCTATTCTATTATTTCTATTCTACTCTATTCTTTTATTTTATATTCTTTTTTATTCTATTCTTTTATTTTATATTCTATTATCTTCTGTTCCATTCTATTCAATTCATTGATATTCTGTTCTAGTTTTTTCTATTCTATACTTTTCTATACTATTATTCTATTCTATTTTTTTATTTTCTATTCTTTTTTATTCTATTCTTTTATTGTATATTTTATTATGGTATGTTCTATCCTATTCTATTCCTTTCTATTCTATTCCAGTTTATTCTATTCTATTCCACTCTAATCTGTTTTATTCTATTCTATTTTGTCTTGTTCTAATCTTTTATACTCTATTATTTTCTATTCTATTCTATTCTGTTTTATTCTATTCTATTCCTCTATATTCTATATAGCAGCCTAAGAAGGAATCATTATCTTATTTCACTTTTATACCTTACTGTATTTATTTCAGTATGTTTCTATTTCATTTTAATACATTTTTGTAATCAAAATCAAATTCATTTTTAAATTCAAATACACATTCATTTTCAAAATTAAATTCATTTTCAAATACGCATAATTTGTTTCATTATAATGTATTTTGAATTTATTGAAATTTGTTACTATTGTGATTCAGAAATTCGGATACATCGGAATCTTCTGATATTGAAAATTGCATCCAAATTTTGTTTTGCAACAAAGTGCCTATTCTCTGACAGTTGTCTCATCACAGTGGAACTTCACTGCTCACTTCCAGAGCATCGTCCGGAATATGTGGTCTAAGAATTCTGGCTGTGGCTGTGCTACAGCCACTTCTCAGTATCACCAACCCTGACCAGAGCTACTTAAAACATCACAGACATATCACAGACAATTCAACAAAGGTACATATTGTGGATAATTAAGCACTTCACAAGTGGGTGACATCCCGGTTGTCACCACCATCCCAGGATCTGCAACCTTGTTATTCTAAAAAGCCATATTATGTACCTCAAAAACGTCTTCATGTGTTTGACATTAGAGAGAAATTGAGATTTGATAAAACTGGTATACATGGATAGTTTTTTTATTTTTTTTAACAATAGTATAACTAAACTTTTCTGATCTGAATAAAGTGGGGAATGGTTAAAACTCTTATAATTGTTTTGCCATCTCTGTCCTATTGGGGATATTTACCTTCTCTTCCTGAAAATGTTTTCCTTACTTTCAGCCCCAGTTGCAATGAAGATACGGAGAGCAGTAAAAATTTCAGTTGGTTCTGAGTGGGTTAAATCTTTTGTACTCTATCCAAAGTGAAGAAAAAAAAAATGTCTTGAGATACACTTGAAGATCAAATGAGCACTTTGGACTTATTGGACTTAATAGCAGCATCACTTTTCTCTTTTGACTACAGTGGATCATTATTTCTCAGATGGATTAAACATCACACAGCAGAAATGATACATCATCTGAAAGATTTACATACCAAATAATACAGATTTGTTTCATTTTACAGAGGTTCATCCATTCTAAAGGTATTATTGCAAACCCACACACACTAATTATTGAATGTAAAGCTACTATCCCCAGGGGCAGGGGCATTAACGCCTAAGTGGCCTAGTAGGCGAACCCTTGCAATGCCCCAGTCCTCTTCATTGTAGCTCATTATCATGGCTAGATGCTTGGTATGTAGTGGTTCAAATACAAAGATGGGTACAAGGGTATGGCACATGATTGTTGAAAATAGTTCCCTATATTGGCCACTACATGGTACCATAGTTAGGGTTCGATATCCTATAGTGAAGAGAGGGCAGTGTAGGTACTGAAGTAAGCACTGGAGGCCCCCAGAGTAGTGAATGGAGTGTACCATAAAGGATGAGTTATTGGCAGCCCTGCCCCTGCCAGTGCAAAGCATCTTGGGTATAGGGCTCTGTATAAATACTTTGGCTGGAGTCCTCCTGGGGTCAGTTAATCATGGGAAGCAGTGCAAGGACTAAGTCTTTCAAAGATGTAATATTTGCTTCTGGGAGCTTCACATTATAAGAGAAGCAGGTAAGGAGAGGTGCAGGACTAATAGTACTACTCACATCCCTTTGGCTTGGAATGTCTGAATATGGCAAAACCCCTCTGTAGGTATGGGCTCTCGTCTCGTCTCTGCTGTTATCTGTTTAAAACGTAAGGTATGGTACAGTCCAGTGGTGTATTTAGGTTTTGTGCTTCCCTAGGCAACACAAAAAATTGGCTGCTTCCTCCCCCTCAGAGAGCGCCTGACACCAACCAACACCACCCTCCCCCCACCCGAGAGAGCCTTCCACTATCACCACCATCCATACAATGGGCACCCCCCCCCCCAAGCGAGAGAGAGAAAGACAATCACCTCCAGACATCCCCTGGAATGAGAGTAAGGCTCTGCATACACCGTCAAGCAGCCCGCAGCCTCCCCACCTGGTCCCCATTCCGCTTGTGTCCCTTCTTCTGTCCCTTCTTCCAGGGTGTGGTGCTGCCCCCTGAAAAATGCCGCCCTAGGCAAATGCCTTGTTTGCCTTGTGCTAAATACACCCCTGGTGCAGTCACTATTGGGATGATTGGAAAGAGTGTAAATATGTAAATCAATCAAGTTTCAGTAAATAGGTAAAAAGCTCCTTATTAAAAGGTTCTCCAAAACAAACAGGCAACACTTGTACCTTTTTCAGTGTTCTTCCAGCATTCAGCCTCTTCTTACAACAGCAAAGGATGAACTAACTGGACAAATTTGGTTTGCAGGTGGTTTGGTGAACTTCTTTAACCACTTGCCTTCCTGAAGGTTTTGCCCCCTTCATGATCAGAGCATTTTGTTGTTATTCAGTACTGTGCTACTTTAACTGGCAATTGCTTGGTCATGCAATACTGTATGCAAATAAAATTTTTGTCATTTTTTTTCCACACAGATAGAGCATTCCTTTTGGTGGTATTTAATCACCACAGAGTTTTTATTTTTGCTATATAAACAAAATAATACCAAAAATGTTGAAAAAAAAACTTTTTAAAACTGGTGAATATAGTACTATTTAGTCTGTGTTTTTAGTTTTTAGAGTCTACAAACTACACTGTTCATTTAAAAAGTGATTAGTCCTGATGTATTAAAGGTGTGTCTTATTTCTTGAGGACCTTATAAAGCCAGTATGGTACAAATACCCCCCCCCCCCCAAAAACCCTTTTTTAGAAAGTAGACAGTCAAAGGTATGTAGTAGTAGTCACGGCAAGTTTTTTGAAGTTCTACTTTTTTTGTCAAAATTTTTGGGAGAATTAAAAAATTAAAAACAAATGTTTTTCTTTTCACATAATGTTATCAGTGTAGTACAGCTTCATCATATAACTAGTGTGGCAGTAATCAAGGATACTGACTGGTGAAAGTATGTAAAAAAAATAAACGAATAAATAATTTTTTATTTAATGTTTTACATTTTTTCTTTTTTAACCACTTCAATACCGGGTACTTTTACCCCCTTCCTGCCCAGGCCAATTTTCAGGTTTCAGCGCTCTCACGCTTTGAATGACAATTGCACATTCATGCAACACTGTACCCAAACTAAATTTTTATCATTTTGTTCACCAAAATAGAGCTTTCTTTTGGTAGTATTTAATCAACACTGCGGTTTTTTATTTTTTGCTAAATTAACAAAAAAAGACTGAAAATTTTGAGAAAAAAACACATTTTTGTTTGTTTCTGTTATAAAAGTTTGCAAATAAATAATTGTTCTTCATAAATTTAGGCCAAGATGTATTCTGCTACATTTCTTTGGTGAAAATAACCCAAATCAGTATTTATTATTTAGTCTGTAGGAAAGTTTACAAACTATGGGATATATCTGAAAATTGATCATTAATGAAGTACTGGCAGCCAAGGGCGGACTGACCATTTGGAAACTCGGGCACTTCCCGAGGGCCCGAGGGTCAGTAGGGGGCCCCATGAGATGCCCTTGGTACCTTTTTCATAGGCTTTTTTCTCAGTCCGCCCCTGCTGACAGCCAATCTAATTTCTTGAAGCCCAAAAATGTCAGAACTGTACAGATATCCCCCAAAGGACCCCTTTTTGCAAAGTAGACAGTCTGACGTATTTCATAAGAGGCATGGCGAGTTTTCGGTCAGAAAAGATGAGCAGGGAAAAAACTGGCAATGGCCTCCACCTGTAAAACCATTCCTGTTTTGGGTTTCGTCTCATTTCTGGCCATCTAGTGCACCTGTTGTTAATTTTATTACCACCAAAGCAGCTGAAACTGATTAACAACCCCCTCTGCTACTTAACTGACCAGATCAATATCTCAGGAGTTTAAATGACTCAATGCTAT